AAAAACTATGTTATGCATCTCTGAACCAGTTGAGTGAAAAGCTGAGAACTTCCCAGTTACATTCCGAATTCCCTAAGTCGCTATTATTTCTGCTGCTATTTATACTTCGCTTATCAAAACAAAAAAGAAGAGAACGGAAGAAGGAAAACAAAGAGTCCCGACTGTTATATCTTATAGAATAAATCACAAATTCCAGTTTATTCTGCAAAAACTTGTCATGTAACCGAAATTTGAGAAACATTCATTAAATAAATGTGTTAACTGCAAGTTCACTCCCCAAAAGCCTGGTTTGATGCACAAATGAAAAATACTTATCGAAAACATTTGTAGTACTAAGTTCAGCATAATATATAGCATAATACCGACTATGATAGTTGGTACGTAAGTTAAAAAATATATTCTTTTCATTTCCAAGTAGATACTACAATTTGCTATAGCAGAATGCGTCTGAATTTGGAGTCTCAGCGATCCGCTAATGTGAATATCACTTCGTTACATAGAATTAATTTTGATAAAGCTGAAGTTTTTTCCGAAACTGTTTCTCCAAATTTTTCTTTGCATTCTTAGCACCAAGTGCGGTCCGCGCTTGTTTTACGTTTTTGAATGTCAGTAAGGCGATTTTTTGTAGGTTTATGAGGCAATTATAAACCGTCCAGTCTTTTTTGCGTCACACTTTTCTAAGGGCTCCTTACATATTTCTGCTATTCGCGAGTTCATAGGTGCTGATAAGTTAGCTAAGTTAGCTCGGGAAATACATTATTTTATCGTACAAGTCCCATTGGAAAGTGAGCGGCATTTTCCGAGTAGAACTAAGGATTGAATGCGCAAACTCATAACTTTTTTAAAACTAGTTATGGTTCTTGAATATTTTTCTGTCTTCAACTTTTTTCTTCCTCAGTACTGAAGATTTCTTCAGATAACCCAAAAAATGCCTTATCTATTGATATGAATACTTTTAGGGCATGACAATAGTCAAACTTTGAAATACCGTTTTTTATTGATGTCAAATGAAGCAACAAATGTTCAATGGTAACCTGCTGATAGCTATCGTAAGCCGTTGGAACTAACTATTGCAGCGCTGAAAATTTTATACTTTATTTGATAATGTTAAAAAATCCAATATTTCTACGTAGAGCCAACATTGTACCCTTTATACCGGTATCAACGGATAGCCCATTCCTCTGTGCTACTTAAAAAAAACCCATCGTACTGAATAAGAAACTTGAAGACAGAAAAAACACTGAAAACTCACGTTTATACCTGAAAAAATAACCAGACGGCACTTCCAATCCGTAGATTCAAAGGTGCCGTTCTCCTTTTAATGAAACCTGTGTCGTCAGATAAAGCATTTTCTAAATTATATCATTAGCACCTTCGCACCCGCGAACGGAGAGCAGCAATTTACTCAGGATCTTCTAGTACCAGTCTGGCTATGACGCAAAACAAAAACCTGGATGGTTTACAAGTCGCT